TACAGGCAGGCCGCTGAATATATTCGAAATCGAACTGCAGACCAAAGCGGATGGGAGCCATGAAGACATCCTCAACCTGAAAGAGCTGGGGAGCCAATCAGTCGCGGTTGAGCGGCAAGTCAAACCTCGTGATCCAGTGCAGTGCCATCGGTGCCAGGCCTTTGGACACACGAAAAATTACTGCAGGCGGCCTTTCGTCTGCATGAAATGTGCAGGTGAGCACATGTCAACTGCGTGCACCAAACCCAGACAGGTGGAGCCCAAGTGCGCAAATTGCAAGGGCAATCATATAAGCTGCTATAAAGGCTGCCCTGCCTACAAAAACGCACGCAGCAAACTAAGGGCAAACCGAGTCATGGCCGATGATAAACAGCGGCAAGAACGTGAGCAGAGGCAGCAGCCACTGCCAGGAATCCAGCATCCACACCAGATAAAACCAGCACATCAGCAGTCAAGAGCATTAAAACAGCCAGGAGTCGCTAAGCTATCCTACAGTCAGGTCGTGCGTAACGGCAACGCTGCCGGTCGCGTACGAAACCCGGCCGAAATACACTTGGCCACTTTCCAGCAGCAACTACGATTGGAACAACAGCAAAATCAACTACCAAATCCTCCCATGAGGGAACAGCAGATCTCAGCAACAAACAATGCCAGTACACCGAATTCAGCTGAAAGATCCACCAACATGTCCCACAGCCGGCTTGTGTCCACAATCCGCAAACATACCCCGAAAAGAAAGCTTTTAGGAACACTTCAGCGGCCACTTCGCAGACGGCAGAATCAACAACAACATCGTTCGAACAATTCCAGGAAGCCAGCAACATCATCAATTAACAAGCCAGCTACTCCAACCAATCGTGACAAGTTCACGCACGGCCAAGTCGACTATAGTGCTCCCTTGCGCAATTCGTTTGGAAGTCATTTGGCCACTCCACAGCAGCATCAATGGGATGAACAGCAGCAGCAGGCAGGACACCAATCATCAATGTCCAAAAGCACTATACTCCAGACATTAGAACAAAACATGGCAATGTTTAGTCGCATGGAAAAAAGAATAGACACTCTATTAAATGTCCTTGTGCAATTCATTACCATCCATAATGAAAACAATACAACAAACACCAATAATCATGTGTTCCCAAACATAGCCCATCAACAAACAGACAGCAAAGCAGCCCAAATGGACTGCTCTAGGGAAGCTGCCATCGCCAATGACGTCACTAAATATGTATAGTCGTACTCACAGCAGTACCGACTCTCAATTGACCATAGCCACTACTTCCTCAGCTGAAAATGTCCACAACAGTGCGCCAATTAGTACAGCAAATCCACATGTGACCATCCACAGGAGCGGCCAGAATAGCAACCCACTTAAAATTGCTTTCTGGAATGCATGTGGTATAGGCAACAAAATGACAGAGCTAGAGCTGTACATGCGACGCGAGTCCATCCAAATTATGATGGTCATCGAAACTCGGGTTCCATCTGACGCCAGCATACTAAGCATGGACGGCTACCACACATACAGTACAACCAATCCACACACGTATCGGAGAGGTGGAGTCGCTATCTTTGTACGAAACGACATTAGACATGCCGCCCTTCATCCAATGTCCGAGAACTTCCTCCAGATTATGCCTGTTGCCTTACTTCCTGAAAATGAGAATAAAAGGGAAATAATTATAATTGCGCCAATATACTGCCCCCCAGTGTTCAAATGGTCAGTCGAACACTTCACAAAACTGTTCAGACATTTTGACAAAATCACAGAACTGGCTTCATCTAACTTTCTCCTCTGCGGTGACTGGAATGCCCAGCACTCATGGTGGGGAAACCCGCGCGCCTGTCACAGAGGCAAAGCGCTCTTCGAAGCAATTCACACGCAAAGTCGATATAATGTTCTGGCCACCGGCGGAGCAACGCACTACCCGTACGATAGGAGGAAAAGACCATCAGCAATTGACCTCGCAGTCTACGGTGGGCTAGATAGCAATCGACTTCGAATCCACTCCTCTACGGACCTGGACTCGGACCACCTGCCCCTAAGAGTTGATCTGATCACTAACAAAAATCGAATCTTTACAACTCATACTGGAAATCACAGACTGCTACCTAATGGAGCCAATACGCATCGTTTTCAGGAGCTTCTTGACCAGCAAATCCACTTAAACACCGAGATCCGCAGTGGCCTGGACATCGACGATGCAGTGAACATCTTCGTACGCAACGTTCAAATAGCGGCAGATGCAGCAGCACACAGGCAGATAGGAAACCAGCTTAGCCACCGGGCCCACCGCAGGCACGATCTTGAACTGGACGAGCCAACCAGAAGACTATTATCGGAGAAACAGAGATGCAAGCAGATTTTAATGGCGACACGAACTCCAGAGGCAAGGCAACAATATAGGTCTGCACAAAATAAGTTGAAGAAGGCACTAATCCAGCTGAAAAACAAGAATATTAATAAAATGCTTGTGGACATTGACACCCATGATCGATACGCTATGCAAAAGCTTTGGAGACTTACCAACAAGCTTAAAAAACAGCCGCAGCCCAATTGGCCAATAAAAACAATACAGGCTAATGTTGGCAATGGGGGCGCGAGGCGTGCGACAAATCCAAACGTAATATGGACGAAAACTACTGCCGAAAAAGCGGAGGCTTTCGTCGCCCACCTTGAAGAAAGATTCAGTCCAAATTTCTCTAATTCGTCTGAGGAGCGTGCAGAAATTCGTCAGGAATGGAGACAACTGAAGCAGCAGAAACTCCAGCAGCAACAAACAGACCAGGAGCTACAGCAGACTATTAGGCCAATCACGCTCAATGAACTAAAGCTAGAAATTGATGCACTAGTGGTAACGAAGTCGCCTGGAGAAGATAAAATAGATAACAGAATTATCCAACTTTTACCGCAAAAAGCGCTGCTATACTTACTGCTAATCTACAACTCTAGCCTAAGGTTAGGGCATTTCCCAAGCAAATGGAAACACGCTGGCATAACTATGATTCCCAAGCCTGGTAAAAGCACAGCTGAAGCAACATCATATCGTCCAATCAGCCTCTTATCGGGCCTATCAAAGATCTTCGAGAAGCTCTTAATGTCAAGGCTCTTCGAAGTCCAGGATTTTGCCAGGGCAATGCCAAGCCATCAATTTGGCTTCAGGCGAGAACACGGCACTGAGCAGCAACTGGCCCGCGTTACGCAATTTATATTACGCGCATACGAAGAGCGACATTTCTGCTCAGCGGTCTATATAGATATCTCGGAAGCCTTTGACCGCGTGTGGCATGACGGCCTGCTGAACAAGTTAATAAAATTGTTACCATTAAACCTTTATACGATACTTGAAAATTACCTATGCGAGCGCACCTTCGTAGTAAACTGCAACGACGGTGTCAAATCTAGAACAGGTCGAGTTGCTGCCGGCGTGCCCCAGGGCAGTGTGCTGGGCCCAATTCTGTACACAATTTACTCGTCGGATATGCCCCTCCCATCGCTCATGAGACGCACATACTTTGCGCCCAGCCAAAATCAAATGCTGTTATCAACATACGCCGACGATACAGTGATCATGTGTGCCTCTGCGCTTCCCTCGGGGGCTGTCGGACAGAACGAGGAATACCTTCGCCACTTCACAAAATGGGCGAAAAAATGGTCCATTAGTATCAACGCTAACAAAACAGGCCATGTGCTCTACACACTGAGAAATCTAGCTCAAACAGATAGAGAACGGTCACCACTACTAAATGGGCAAAGGATACCAAGCAAAACCTCACAGACATACCTGGGAATCATACTGGACCGGAAACTCACCCTCAAACCACATGTCACTCACCTAAGTAACAAGCTGAGAGCAAGAGCATCCAAACTGATGTGGCTCCTTGGTCCCAACAGCAGACTGGCAAAGGACTGCAAAGCGGTCTGGCAATACGATCTCCCTGTCTGGGGGGCGCTCACATCGGACACACAGTTACAACGAATTCAGCGACTGCAAAATAAAATAATAAGAAAATCAGTTAATGCATCCTGGTACACCAGAAACGCAACAATACGGAGTACATACTGCCTTAAAACTGTTGACGAAGTCTTTCACTTGGCAAGTGACCGCTTTGCAAACTCGTTGGTCAGACATGCAAACCCTGAGGCACGAAACCTGCTAGAGCACCCATTTGAGCCACAGCGCCTACTGAGGCCCCGCTACATGCAGCAATTACAACAACACATACGACCGCTTCAGAATCATCATGGACCGCAACAGCGCCAAGCACAGCCACCGCACACACAGCACACTGCTCACCAAGCACAACAAGCACAACAAAGGATGCAATTTAGAGAGCAGCTTCCAACACTCCTCCGGCTTCAAGAAGAAGAGCTAGAGAGGCGAGAAAATGAGAGATTGGCCGAAATCCAGGCAAGGCAACAGATCCAGCAACCTAATCGGCCGCCTCCTAGAAGATTCGGGGAGTCAATAATAAATGCGTTAAGAAGAATGTATAGAAGCGGAGAAATCACCCGTGAAGAGGTAGTGGCAGATATTCAAGGCCAACCCCCAACAATCCAGCGATTAATCCTACCAGACTATGTGGACGAGAGGCAGCAGGATCATCAAACACAGCAAGCTCTGCCAATGCAGATGCAACAGGCACCATCAACGCAGCAACAACAGCAGCTAACTACGCCAACTCAGGAGTCAGTGAATCCGCAGTTGCAACCGCAGCTACAGCAGCCGCAACTCCAACAAACTCAGCTAACGACGACTGTCATCCAGGCCAGGCACCAACTCCAGCAAATACCTAGAAGATTTGGGGAGTTAAGAATAAATGCGTTAAGAAGAATGTATAGAAGCGGACAAGTTACCCGTGAAGAGCTAGTGGCTAACATCCAAGGCCAACCTCCAACAATCCAGCGATTAATCCTACCAGACTATGTGGACGAGAGGCAGCAGAATCATCAACCACAGCGTACTCTGCCAATGCAGATACAACAGGCACTATCAACGCAGCAACAACAGCAGCTAACTACGCCAACTCAGGAGTCAGTGAATCCGCAGTTGCAACCGCAGCTACAGCAGCCGCAACTCCAACAAACTCAGCTAACGACGACTGTCATCCAGGCCAGGCACCAACTCCAGCAAATACCTAGAAGATTTGGGGAGTTAAGAATAAATGCGTTAAGAAGAATGTATAGAAGCGGACAAATTACACGTGAAGAGCTAGTGGCTAACATCCAAGGCCAACCCCCAACAATCCAGCGATTAATCCTACCAGACTATGTGGACGAGAGGCAGCAGAATCATCAAACACAGCATACTCTGCCAATGCAGACTCAACAGGCATCAGTAACGCCACAACAGCAGCTAACGACATCACCTCAGGGGACAGGAAACCTGCAATCGCTGACGCAACCACAGCAGCCGCAACTACAACACACCCAGATAAATACAGCCATCAGCCACGAAACACTCCTGGAGCATGGCCTCCAGAGAGTCCGGTTAACATTGGAACGCGTTCTAAATGAAGACATGGAAGTCGCAAGCTCCCAAGATGATCTGCTGGGTCAAATAATTAGTTTGGAATGAGCAACGGCATTGGCAGCGTCTACCAAAACAAATATGAAATAGCTCAACTGCTCCTTGTGGGCTCCATCCAACATCCTGACTCATAACGGAACCGATTTAATACTTTGCCGCCAAGTCAGCTGACATGCAATTCCTCGACAAATTGTGGAGTCTGAGAGACGCCAATAGATGTTTCCAAACCACGACACAGAAGTGCTGACCTGCAAATAAAGGCACAAATTAAACACTGTTTAAACAAAGCTTTAAATGCATACACACCAAGAACACGATGCGCCCACGACGGCCAACTGGGCCAAATTCTCAATTTGGAGTGAGCGAGTGCCTCGGCATCGCCCACTCAAACAAAATATGCAACAGCTCAGCAGCTCTTTGTGGGCTCATCCAGCATCCTGAAACGCAAACAGCCTGCTTGCATGCCATCAAGTACAACGGAGCCGATTTAATACGCTGCTGTGACTACCAAGTCGACTGATATGTAAATTCTGGACAAGCTGCGTGGCGTGTGAGAGACGCCACCAGATATTTCCAAATCACGAAGATGATGCGCTGTCCTGCAACCAAAGGCACATAATTAAAAGCAAAAAATTGTTTAAAACACATACTTACCAAGAAGATGACATGCTCCACGACGGCCTGCTGGCTAAATACTCAACCTGGAGTGAGCGACAGCTCCGGCACCGCCCTCTCAAACAAAGTGGGCAACAGCTCAGCAGCTCCTGTTGGGCTCCATCTAGCAATCTGAATCGCTACCGGCCTGCTTCCAGGCCATCCATTACTATTGAGCCGATTGAATGCGTTACTGTGACCGCCAAGCCAACTGACATGCAATTACTGGCAAGCTTCGTGGCGAGTGAGAGACGCCAACGGATGTTTCCAAACCATGACACTAAGTGCTGTCCTGCAAATAAAGACGATGCGCCTATGACGGTCGACTGGGCCCAGTACTCAATTTGAGGTGAGCGATTGCTTCGGTATCGCCCAGTCAAACAATTTCTGGCCAAGCTGCGTGGCGTGTGAGAGACGACGCTGGACGCTTCCAAATCACGACGAAAATGCGCTGTCCTGCAACCAAAGGCACATAAATAAAAGCAAAAATTGTTTTAAAATACATACTTACCAAAAGATGACATGCTCCACGACGGCCTGCTGGCTGAATACCCAACTTGGAGTGGGCGACTGCTCCGGCATCGCCCATACAAACAATTCCTGGTCAAACTGCATGGCGTGTGAGAGACGCCATTAGAAGCTTCCTAACCACAACGATGATGCGCTGTCTTGCAAGCAAAAGCACAAATAAAAAAAATTGTCTACATACTTACCAAGAAGATGATACGCCCCACGATGGCCTCCTGGTTAAATACACAATTTGCAGTGAGCGACGGCATCGGCATCGCCCACTCGAACAAAATATGCAACAGCTCAGCAGCTCCTTGTGGGCTCCACCTAGCACCCTGAACTGCAACCGGCCTGTACTGCGGGCCACCCAATGCGTTGCTGCGGCTGCCAAGCCAGCTGACATGCAATACTCAGATAAGATGATCTGCTCCACGACGATCCACTGAGCCAAACCACTAATTGGCATGAGCGACGGTATAGCCCAGCAGCTTCATGTGGGCTCCCCTCACTTCCTGAATTGCCCGAGTGGCCATCCATCATAAGCGTACCTGCCAGCTGAGTGAGATGCATGACGCGCGATAGCCGCCACAGAGGAAGTTACCACTGTTTTCAATAAGACGCAGGTTCCCACGGCGGATTACTGGGCCAAAACTCAGGAAACGCTGCCATTGATGCTGCTCCTAAAGATGAGTAATGCAGGACGATAAATATCGTTGCAAATAAAAATACCAAAAACGCGTTTAGCCGATAAGTTAATACCGACACGCTGTAACAGGGCTGCAAAATGTTTTGCCCACAAATTATAATACTTCTGTTGCCATTTAAATTTAAAATAAGTTGCTATGTTAAAGTAATGAGTTAAATTAAAAATAAAGACACCGTCAGTATCTTTCTGGCGGGCAAGTGGTTAAGATTAAAAAGCTCACCAAGCACAACAAGCACAACAAAGGATGCAATTTAGAGAGCAGCTTCCAACACTCCTCCGGCTTCAAGAAGAAGAGCTAGAGAGGCGAGAAAATGAGAGATTGGCCGAAATCCAGGCAAGGCAACAGATCCAGCAACCTAATCGGCCGCCTCCTAGAAGATTCGGGGAGTCAATAATAAATGCGTTAAGAAGAATGTATAGAAGCGGAGAAATCACCCGTGAAGAGGTAGTGGCAGATATTCAAGGCCAACCCCCAACAATCCAGCGATTAATCCTACCAGACTATGTGGACGAGAGGCAGCAGGATCATCAAACACAGCAAGCTCTGCCAATGCAGATACAACAGGCACTATCAACGCAGCAACAACAGCAGCTAACTACGCCAACTCAGGAGTCAGTGAATCCGCAGTTGCAACCGCAGCTACAGCAGCCGCAACTCCAACAAACTCAGCTAACGACGACTGTCATCCAGGCCAGGCACCAACTCCAGCAAATACCTAGAAGATTTGGGGAGTTAAGAATAAATGCGTTAAGAAGAATGTATAGAAGCGGACAAATTACACGTGAAGAGCTAGTGGCTAACATCCAAGGCCAACCCCCAACAATCCAGCGATTAATCCTACCAGACTATGTGGACGAGAGGCAGCAGAATCATCAAACACAGCATACTCTGCCAATGCAGACTCAACAGGCATCAGTAACGCCACAACAGCAGCTAACGACATCACCTCAGGGGACAGGAAACCTGCAATCGCTGACGCAACCACAGCAGCCGCAACTACAACACACCCAGATAAATACAGCCATCAGCCACGAAACACTCCTGGAGCATGGCCTCCAGAGAGTCCGGTTAACATTGGAACGCGTTCTAAATGAAGACATGGAAGTCGCAAGCTCCCAAGATGATCTGCTGGGTCAAATAATTAGTTTGGAATGAGCAACGGCATTGGCAGCGTCTACCAAAACAAATATGAAATAGCTCAACTGCTCCTTGTGGGCTCCATCCAACATCCTGACTCATAACGGAACCGATTTAATACTTTGCCGCCAAGTCAGCTGACATGCAATTCCTCGACAAATTGTGGAGTCTGAGAGACGCCAATAGATGTTTCCAAACCACGACACAGAAGTGCTGACCTGCAAACAAAGGCACAAATTAAACACTGTTTAAACAAAGCTTTAAATGCATACACACCAAGAACACGATGCGCCCACGACGGCCAACTGGGCCAAATTCTCAATTTGGAGTGAGCGAGTGCCTCGGCATCGCCCACTCAAACAAAATATGCAACAGCTCAGCAGCTCTTTGTGGGCTCATCCAGCATCCTGAAACGCAAACAGCCTGCTTGCATGCCATCAAGTACAACGGAGCCGATTTAATACGCTGCTGTGACTACCAAGTCGACTGATATGTAAATTCTGGACAAGCTGCGTGGCGTGTGAGAGACGCCACCAGATATTTCCAAATCACGAATGATGATGCGCTGTCCTGCAACCAAAGGCACATAAATAAAAGCAAAAAATTGTTTAAAATACATACTTACCAAAAGATGACATGCTCCACGACGGCCTGCTGGTCGAATGCCCAATTTAGAGTGGGCGACTGCTTCGGTATCGCCCATTCAAACAATTCCTGGCCAAACTGCATGGCGTGTGAGAGACGCCACTGGATGTTTCCAAACCGCGACGATGATGCGCTGTCCTGCAAGCAAGGTTTGGGAACTCAATTTGGAGTGAGCGACGGCCTCGGCATCGCCCACTCGAACAAGGTATTCAACAGCCCAGCAGCTCCTTGTGGGCTCCATCTAGCATCCTGAACTGCAACCGGCCTGTTTGCGGGCCACCCGGGTCTGCTGACATGCAACTACTGGACGGATTGTGGAGTGTGAGAGACGACAATGAATGTTTCTAAAGCAAGACGCAGAACTGCTGCCCTGCAAATAAAGGCATAAATTAAACAATGTCTAAATAAAGCTTTAAATACATACATACCAAGAAGACGATGCACCCACGACGGTAAATTGGGCCAAATACTCATTTGAAGTGAGCGACTGCTTCGGTATCGCTCATACAAACAATTCCTGGTCAAGCTGCGTGGCGTGTGAGAGACGCCACCAGATATTTCCAAATCACGAAGATGATGCGCTGTCCTGCAACCAAAGGCACATAATTAAAAGCAAAAAATTGTTTAAAACACATACTTACCAAGAAGATGACATGCTCCACGACGGCCTGCTGGCTAAATACTCAACCTGGAGTGAGCGACAGCTCCGGCACCGCCCTCTCAAACAAAGTGGGCAACAGCTCAGCAGCTCCTGTTGGGCTCCATCTAGCAATCTGAATCGCTACCGGCCTGCTTCCAGGCCATCCATTACTATTGAGCCGATTGAATGCGTTACTGTGACCGCCAAGCCAACTGACATGCAATTACTGGCAAGCTTCGTGGCGAGTGAGAGACGCCAACGGATGTTTCCAAACCATGACACTAAGTGCTGTCCTGCAAATAAAGACGATGCGCCTATGACGGTCGACTGGGCCCAGTACTCAATTTGAGGTGAGCGATTGCTTCGGTATCGCCCAGTCAAACAATTTCTGGCCAAGCTGCGTGGCGTGTGAGAGACGACGCTGGACGCTTCCAAATCACGACGAAAATGCGCTGTCCTGCAACCAAAGGCACATAAATAAAAGCAAAAAATTGTTTAAAATACATACTTACCAAAAGATGACATGCTCCACGACGGCCTGCTGGTCGAATGCCCAATTTAGAGTGGGCGACTGCTTCGGTATCGCCCATTCAAACAATTCCTGGCCAAACTGCATGGCGTGTGAGAGACGCCACTGGATGTTTCCAAACCGCGACGATGATGCGCTGTCCTGCAAGCAAGGTTTGGGAACTCAATTTGGAGTGAGCGACGGCCTCGGCATCGCCCACTCGAACAAGGTATTCAACAGCCCAGCAGCTCCTTGTGGGCTCCATCTAGCATCCTGAACTGCAACCGGCCTGTTTGCGGGCCACCCGGGTCTGCTGACATGCAACTACTGGACGGATTGTGGAGTGTGAGAGACGACAATGAATGTTTCTAAAGCAAGACGCAGAACTGCTGCCCTGCAAATAAAGGCATAAATTAAACAATGTCTAAATAAAGCTTTAAATACATACATACCAAGAAGACGATGCACCCACGACGGTAAATTGGGCCAAATACTCATTTGAAGTGAGCGACTGCTTCGGTATCGCTCATACAAACAATTCCTGGTCAAGCTGCGTGGCGTGTGAGAGACGCCACCAGATATTTCCAAATCACGAAGATGATGCGCTGTCCTGCAACCAAAGGCACATAATTAAAAGCAAAAAATTGTTTAAAACACATACTTACCAAGAAGATGACATGCTCCACGACGGCCTGCTGGCTAAATACTCAACCTGGAGTGAGCGACAGCTCCGGCACCGCCCTCTCAAACAAAGTGGGCAACAGCTCAGCAGCTCCTGTTGGGCTCCATCTAGCAATCTGAATCGCTACCGGCCTGCTTCCAGGCCATCCATTACTATTGAGCCGATTGAATGCGTTACTGTGACCGCCAAGCCAACTGACATGCAATTACTGGCAAGCTTCGTGGCGAGTGAGAGACGCCAACGGATGTTTCCAAACCATGACACTAAGTGCTGTCCTGCAAATAAAGACGATGCGCCTATGACGGTCGACTGGGCCCAGTACTCAATTTGAGGTGAGCGATTGCTTCGGTATCGCCCAGTCAAACAATTTCTGGCCAAGCTGCGTGGCGTGTGAGAGACGACGCTGGACGCTTCCAAATCACGACGAAAATGCGCTGTCCTGCAACCAAAGGCACATAAATAAAAGCAAAAATTGTTTTAAAATACATACTTACCAAAAGATGACATGCTCCACGACGGCCTGCTGGCTGAATACCCAACTTGGAGTGGGCGACTGCTCCGGCATCGCCCATACAAACAATTCCTGGTCAAACTGCATGGCGTGTGAGAGACGCCATTAGAAGCTTCCTAACCACAACGATGATGCGCTGTCTTGCAAGCAAAAGCACAAATAAAAAAAATTGTCTACATACTTACCAAGAAGATGATACGCCCCACGATGGCCTCCTGGTTAAATACACAATTTGCAGTGAGCGACGGCATCGGCATCGCCCACTCGAACAAAATATGCAACAGCTCAGCAGCTCCTTGTGGGCTCCACCTAGCACCCTGAACTGCAACCGGCCTGTACTGCGGGCCACCCAATGCGTTGCTGCGGCTGCCAAGCCAGCTGACATGCAATACTCAGATAAGATGATCTGCTCCACGACGATCCACTGAGCCAAACCACTAATTGGCATGAGCGACGGTATAGCCCAGCAGCTTCATGTGGGCTCCCCTCACTTCCTGAATTGCCCGAGTGGCCATCCATCATAAGCGTACCTGCCAGCTGAGTGAGATGCATGACGCGCGATAGCCGCCACAGAGGAAGTTACCACTGTTTTCAATAAGACGCAGGTTCCCACGGCGGATTACTGGGCCAAAACTCAGGAAACGCTGCCATTGATGCTGCTCCTAAAGATGAGTAATGCAGGACGATAAATATCGTTGCAAATAAAAATACCAAAAACGCGTTTAGCCGATAAGTTAATACCGACACGCTGTAACAGGGCTGCAAAATGTTTTGCCCACAAATTATAATACTTCTGTTGCCATTTAAATTTAAAATAAGTTGCTATGTTAAAGTAATGAGTTAAATTAAAAATAAAGACACCGTCAGTATCTTTCTGGCGGGCAAGTGGTTAAGATTAAAAACCAACAGAGAGCTTAAGCTTTTTCACGTTTCCTTTGTAGGCTGCTCTTAATTTTTTGTAAAGGTTGACACAAACAAAATCAAAACTGGTGTGTCGTCACCAATAAACAAAATAAACTGGTGTGTCGTCACCAATAAACAAAATAAATTAAAACTAAATACTTACCTTAATCAAAACTATTAAAAAACTGAAGCTTAATTAGGTGTGTCGCCACCAACAACATTAAGCTACAATCACACATACACTTACCTTATCACACCTTCTCATATACTTACCTTATCACACCTTCATACTACATATAGCTATACTTACCTTATCACACCTTCATATTACATATATTCATACTTACCTTATCATACTTATATATAAATATAATTTCCTACCGGTGTACCATCACCAACCATAAACTATATATAATATATATACTTACCTCAACCATATACTCACCGTATAATCACCAAATACCAATACCTACCTTCAACCATATTTACCAATTACCACTATCAATATGTCAGATCCAAACACTACGCCCACTACTCACCTGTCCGCCGAGCCGGCAGTATCGCCAGGACTCTTGTCAAACTTATCAGGCCTACTGCTCTCGCCGATACTGACAATGCCGGCATCAATGAACGGTCTACTATCAATTTCAGTAGACTCATTGGCGCCAGCATCAGCCCTGTCCCCCCAGGCTCTCATATCGACAGCCAGTGAAACATCTGCGCAAAAAGGACAAGAACAGAAACGTGCTGCGGGCAAAGAAACAGAAAACACTGTTTCGGAAACGACAACAACATCATCAATATCGGCAAAAACAACAGCTGTAAACACGAATATCAAGAGCATTTATATACCAGCTGACGCTCAGGCACAACTAGCACATTATAAACGTCTAATTGCCCAGCTTGAGTTGGATACTACTCCTCCAAACAGCCAAGTTGCCGACAACTTTACCAGCTACTACGACGAACACTCCTCTAGTGATTCTATCGTAAATATTATGGATAGCGATGATGCTCCTTGCACACCAAAGCCAGCTCAACCGCTGCCGATGCACTTCTCGCCATCAAACTCCCACCTCAGTTGTTGCTACAAAAACCTCCACACAACTCAGTTCGCCAACATATGCAGCCATTTTGGCTGGCAATGCTGCAAATCAAAAATCCAAAAATTCAACGTGCATAAGTAGCAGCAGTGACAGCAGCTCCAACAATGCACCCGGTATTGGTGGTCCCGGCGGCAAAATCACCACCACAGCCACTACCGGTGCTTCGCATTATCAACTACTCCATCCCACAGGCAAAGCAGCCAATCAAATTCGCAAAAATAATGCGCGAAAGTCAAATCGCCAAAACTCGGCAATTTCTCGCCTATCCCAGCAAGATGCTCAAAGACGCAACCAATTTGCAAATCGGTTCACATTATTATCAGAATCCGACTTTGAAGCGCCAGATACACTTCAGCCCCAACAGTTGCCGGCGAAAACTAACAATTTGGCCGCTGCCGTACAAGCTGCCCTGACACCTGCCAAACAGTCAACAACTACGACAAAAATTCCAACTAACACAAGAGCAGCATTGACAAATGTCCATTTCGCCACTGCCGCCACGGCCGTCAATGCTACTCCCCCTAACTCACCCGACCATCAACAACAACAGCAAGCTGGTGCGATCAATGTTTCTGCCCCTGCGGCGAAACACTACAAACCGCCACAGATATGCATTCAGCATTACAACCAGCCAGATCAAAACGGCATCGATTCTGTAATTGCCAAATTAAACGGACAAAACCCGCCCATAATTGATTATGGATTAAAATTGGGTAGTCCTGGCATATTAAGAATCCTGCCGAAAACCTTAGAGACATACTCTAAAATCATAAACGTCCTCAATATGGACAATTCAATCAATTATAACACGTACCAGAGGCGTGAGGAGCGCTCTTTCCGGGTTGTGGTGCGGGGCATTCACGCCTCCACAAGCACCGACGCAATCCGAAACGAGTTGACGTGCATGGGCTATACGATTCGCAACGTATATTGCCCAAAATATAAGAATCGCAGCGGCCCTGGTACATATCAACCGAATATATTCTTTGTGGAATTGGCTCCCGATTCCGCAAAGAATCGATCTATATTCGAAGTCAGAAATCTTTGCAAATATGTCGTCCGCTTCGAGTGGCCTAAAATAGATGGCAAGAAATTGCCACAGTGCCACCGATGTCAGCGTTTCAACCACACGACCCGATATTGCCATCATCGTGCTCGCTGTGTAAAGTGCGGCAACGAGCATCTCACACAAACTTGCGCCAAACCGGCAAATATGCCAGCTACTTGTGCAAACTGCGGCTCGGACCATACAGCCAATTACAAGGGCTGCCCCTTGTATCTGGATCTGCTACAAGCAAAACTGTTGTCCCTGCCAAACAGCAAAAATATCAGTCCGAATGTTCGGCAGCCTCAGCCGAAATTACAGCGGCGGCAAAAGCAGCCTCAGCGCCAGCAACCTGCTCAACTGCAACTGCAACAGCAGCAGCAACAGCAAAAACAAAAACAAGCTCAGCTGCAGCGCCAGCAGCCAAAGCCTAAGCTAATCAACAACAAAAATAACAAGAAATCAAAACAAAATGGTGGACAGATAGAAACGCAGCCAATGCATAATCAAAAATTACAAATTAGCACTCCAGCTGGAGTTCCTCGAAAATCTGTCACACCAAACACAACCAACAATATCAATGCGGCAAACAATGCCAATAATCCCAATCCCCCCACCGTCTCCTCATCCAACTCTTTGGATCCACGCTCTAGATGGGCGCGGACCCAAAGTTTACAACAACAACAACAACAGCAGCAACGCCAACTTGAGAGACCTGACTCTGTTCAAACCAGAGAACAGATCATCTCAAGGCAGCGTCAGATGCTAGAAAATTGGTCCATCCGGCAACAAGCCACCACCGCCAATCAACCCGTCACACAACAACAATCCGCGCCAATGCAAGTTGACGTTGAGCAGCGACAGCTACTACCATCACCACAACAACAGCAACTTTACCAAACACGCTCCTCTAACGATCCGCAAAAAGATATACTGCTTCAAATGGCCAACAAGCAGCAAGAGCAGTTAGACGGTCTGATGGGCTCGGTGCTGATATTGCAACAACAATTGCAAGGAGTGCTCCGCCTAGGTGCAGACTCTTCAACGCCCGCTGTACCATGGTCAAATTCAAGCCAATAATTTGAATGAATTCAGATGCCCGGTTTCACTGGCTCACCTTCTGCTCAATCAAAATTAAAATCCTGGAAAAAATAGCAACTTTACTTACCTCCAACTTACCTTTTATTAGTTAATTCCCAAACCAAATCTCTATTTTAGCACTTACCTCCTTATTATTTTTACCTACCTCATTTACTTACCTTTTTAATTTATCCTCAAGTAGCTATTATTTTCCTAAAAACATACTAACCTCATCATCAATACAATTGTCAACAACTGCAAACAACAAGAAGCCACAGCAAATTGCCAGCCATGTTCCGCTATGTGCGCCTCTGCGTCTGCTCGCTCACAACACTCCAGCACTTACAATGCTCGAATACAGTGAGCTTCCTATTCGTCAATGCGCTGGCGCACACTAAAACATAATCAGACGAAACGAGATGTCTGTGCCACACTTGCCCACCCCATGACCAATGGCAGCAGAAGCTACTAGTTGCATTCTTAACGGCCTACGAGGAAAGACGGGCAACTTCTTTTTCAAGATAAGCTCCAGAAATCCACATTTGGCAGCATCAAATATCATCACTCCTTTACACACACACACAATCACATCGAGAAAAAGCAATGAAAACAAACACAGCACACAATATGCTTATCATTGCCTCTTCTCACCAATGAATCTGCCAATTCAAATTCCACTTGCTAAAAACTTCTCCATCTCAACCATCCTTTTTATCCCGCATCGCAAATATTTAATCATAGCCAACACGCATTTGATGACAGCCAGTGCAAATATATTTAAATTATTGAAA